TGTTTGGTTAATAAATTCTGCGAGTTCAGATTACGTTCTAGCAGTGGCTGGAATGCTAGCATCAGCAGTGTAACTAAACCTCAAATTGATTAACTCGCATGAACCAGACGCTCACAAAGATGGCAGTGGTCCAAATCAAAAAAAGGAACGAGAGGGGGTGGGGGTGTTGTGTTGGGAGGTGTGTGTATGAGGGAGAGGGAAGGAGAGAGGGGGAGAGAGCGAGCGAGCATCAGGCCGGATGGTGTTGTGTTGCTCTGGTGTAAGGAAATCAAGTCCCCCCGGGCGCATTTTTAAAAGCCTAATGCCTTTCAAATGATGTCATCACATTTTACTCTTTTTTCTATTCCTCCCTCCCCCTTCTCTCAGCCAATCTCTCTTAGTATCTTTCCCCTTTTCAAACCGTTTCCGTCAATCCCTACACACACATACAGCCTCCAGCCCTCCCCCGCCCCCCAATCAGTTATTTGGCTATGGGGAGAGGGTCGGCGGGCCTCGATATGAGTCACGTGACGCATTAGAATAATGGCCACGCGAGAGGCAAAACATCTTGTGATTTTTTATGACTGATGTGTCCCCCCCCCCCCCCCCCCCTGGGTTTATTTCCTGAGAGTGATATCATACTAATCAAAACCACAGCAACATTTAGAGTGGCAAGTGTGATTGAGAGGAGACCATTAAGGAACTGCCCCCCCCCCTTTAAATATACACACACCCACACGCGCAGACGCGTTTCCATAAAGTGCCTACACCCACAAGGGGGTTTAGCTTTTTATTTTTTTAGATCTCCCATAATAGAAACTGGGTGTGGTTGCTGTAAAGGAGTAGGCAGTGTGCCCTATCCCATGGGTACCCGACACACACACACACATGCACGTGCACACGCACAGATCCTTATCAATTTATCTATTTGTCAGTCAGTGGCGGAGGCTGCCCTGGTGGCGTATTCCTGCGACAGCGTTCCATCGGCCGCTTTCCGTCCCAAGATCCCGGTGACGTGCCGTCGGAAGGGAGTGCGAGGTGTCTCGCACACACACACACACACACACACACACACACACTTGCACACACAATTGCACTCACTCTCGCACACAGTTAGTCAGAGGGGAGTGTGAGTGCAGCAGACAGCAGGCAGAGTGACTGATACTCAGCCTGCCTCCCAGATGGCCTGCTCAACTCTGCTCCAATCTGATCTCAGAGCCTTTGTTCTGGCATGTTCTATTACGCCGCCGTGACACCAGTAAAGGCAGAGGGGAGACGAGCTGGTCTCAGATCAGATACAGTTGAATTATACATGTATTTCTCTTCTTCTTTTTTCCCCTTCTCCCTCTCTGTGATATTCTTGAACTAGCACAGTAACAATATTTTTTGTTTTTTTCCCGGGGTAAGAGGCGAGCAACAGTTTCACAGACTAGAACTGTTTCGGTTTGGGATAAAAAGAAGCAACAGTGGCTTTGATATTGAATTGAAAGATTTGATTTTTTGGGTTATTCTCAATATGAATGATATTCCTGGGTGGGAATTGACAGAGATTTGTGATGTCAACTTAGCAGCAGCCTTCGACATTTGCGAGAGATTCATCAGATTGTGAATACTGATTGTGAATTAGGTATCACACTTATTTAATCCCTTACCCTGTGCTATAATTATGAATTTTATTCCTCTACAGTACAAAAAATGGCAAAATGTGCAGTGATTGTATGGTAATTCATTTAAATATAATATGTTTTCACATAAAACTGTTTTACACGCAAAACTGCCAACTCTGTATAGTTTTTTATGTGTCTTAAACAATACTTTTACTCTTTGAACACAAAAATCCAGCAATTTGTTAACACAGGAATGGTGGAATTCGACAATTGAAGAAGAGCTTGTCCTAAATGCATCAATGAGAGGGAATTGTAGCCGGCCTTTAAGGGCTTTTCTATAAACAGCCAAAGGCTCACCTGTGACAATCACTTTAATGTTGCCTCTCCCTCTGTGAATCTTCTTTGCATAGAAAAATAAATAGATAAAATAAAAGAGGGAGGATGCAGAGAGAAAATCAATACTCTGAGGATAGTTACAGCTGGGTGTCAACAAGCGATCGAGAGCCGCCCTCCCCCAACACGTCATACGCTCAGGCTTGCACTACAATGCCTAATATACGGGGTGACCTTCAAAATGTCATAAATGTGTTGTGCAATAAAGTGTCAATATTTGCCGTTATATGGAGCAGTCTGACTTTTACAGTAATTGGAACAGTCGCATTAAAGGCAGCGGATCAGTCAGCTGATTAAAGACAGGCGTGCCGGACAGCCTGGCCAGTGTGTGGGAATGATGCTGATTTCCATGCATGTGTGTGTGTGTGTGTGTATGTGTGTGAGACACTCACCTCGAGGAAGCGTGCCCAGAACTTCTGCTTTAACTTCTTTCTTTGTAGTGTGTGTGTGTGTGTGTGTGTGTGTGTGTGTGTGTGTGTGTGTGTGTGTGTGTGAACATGTGAATGTGTGAAGGCCCTTTATTCATCCTCTTACAGCAGCAGTATTAACCCTGACACACAAAGACAGCCGTACGCGCGGGTGTGTGTGCGCGTGTGGTCCGATGTTTTTCCAGCTTCTAATCTGTGTTTTGGATTTTTTAATTTTAGCCCCATCTGGGGCGGACAGGTGGGCTACTGTCTGTTAACATGATCTCGGGAGTCTTTGCCAAAAGGGGATCTGTACAGTGGACCGCTCGAAATATGTTTATGAGGGGGCGACTATGGCTACAGTATGGTGCAGCGCTGGACAAAAGCACTGGGGAAATTGTAGTCACTTTGATTTATTTTTTTATTTTCTGTCTTTTAAATGGCGCTCAGATTAAAAATGCAAAAGGTGTGTTCACACAGTGGTGAAATTATGCAGGGAGTCGTATACTTTTACAAGTGATATTATACATGCAAACTGCGCTTTGTGTGATCACCGAGCCCAGCGATACGGTGTGCCATGAAGGTCACAAACGTTGGTTGAATTTCCTCGAAAATGTCAATTTTCAAAGTGGATTTAATGAAACAGTGCTGTTTTAAATGTTCCGTTTTAAACGATCAATTGATACTCATTTGATTTCACTTTGGGGTGTCAAATAGAAATATTGGACCACCTCATTTCAATGCCCTTGTGTTTAGGATTTTTTTTTTTTACTATCTTGCATTTCCACTCATCTCCCCCTCTCTGTGTAATACATGTAAAAATGATTGTGAAAACATCTGCTTTTAAAAAGACCCAACTGTTTGCGGGCTTCTCTCCCTCTCGCTAGCCCACAGTATTAAACTGTGCAGTTGCCATTCCCAAGTAGAAGCATCTGGTATTTAGTCTCTGCACATTGTCACAGACTTGCATTAAGGTTGCCTTTCAGTTTCACTTGTGATAAATAGCCCTCAGCCCCGATAGCGAGTTTGCTGAATGGAGTCGTGTGTTTAGTGTCAGCGCGGAAGAGGACTTGCTGACTTGGGCCTTTCCATTCTGTAAAAACCTTATTTGACTCCCCCGACAGAGTAGGAGGAGGGGTGCGGAATGGGAAGCGGCAGAAAAGAAAAGATTAGGCTAATGTCAAAAAAAAGGCCTTATTGTGCGGTGTGGTTGCCTTCGTGGATTCCTCCATTTTTATTCTGTGTCTTTCTTTCCTCTCTACACGCACACCAAATGATGTTCCAGATTAAATAGTAAATAACATCATTTTAAAATGTATTTGCACTACTTTGGTCACACGGTTACCATGGAGGCCATTGCCTTGGCCTTGTTTTGTCTGGAGCTTTTCTTCTTTCTAACCCCGGAAAAGAAGCGATGAGCCCCTGACTTGCTCATAAGCGCCATAACTGTCTGTACCAGTTTTCCCCGACCTCTAAACATGTCAGATGAATAAATGCTAATATAAATATGGCAGCCTGCACAAAAATCAAAAACAGCCACCGAAACAGACAAAAAAAGAATCACTTGCACATGACTTTGCTGTGAAATCCGTAAATCCTTTTGACAGTTCGGTGCTGACCTTGAACCGCCCTGCGTAGCAACGCCCCAGCTAGTCCTATTGGAACAATACAGATATTTTTAATTGAACAGCTTCACGACACAAGACATATCAACCACCAATCATTTTGTGCTCGTTCCCTTTTTTGTTTCTTTCAAGTTTCCTTTTTTTTTTTTTACTTAACTTAGTTATTAAGACCTTTTACATTTGCACGACTGTCAGCACATCACAGACTCTTAACTGAGCGCACAACGAGGCCGACGCGTGCTTTCAGTCTGACGGCGACACGCTCACCTCGCATTGTGCTGCTCTCAACACATTCCTAGGTTGTCGTCACTCATCTTCAGAATTGTATTCAGAAGGTGATCGCGTTGATAATAGACTGCTGTTGCGCTAAACTGTGCATCATCGTTTCTTTTCGTGTGGCATGCGGGAGAAGTGGTGAAGGGCGGGGTCAAAACTGTTATCACCCTATCATATCTGTGACAGCTACCTGTCAAAATCAGGTCGCGGGCAGAGATGCGAGGAGATCTTGCGATGCTGACATAGCCGAATCTAACTCTCTCTCTTATTTTTGTTCTTTCTATCTTATTTTGCATTGTTAATTTTCACTGCAATCCAGCATATGCTTAATAGGAATGATGATGATAGCCAGGATGAAAAAAAGAGTAGCGGTGTTGGCGCAGGTGGCGGTGTAGAGTGTGTGTGAATTCAGACGGAGGGGAGTGGGGGGGGTGATATCTCAGGACTGTGGTGTTTCTAAAGAAGCTGAAAAGCTTATGAACCGTCAGCGTTCTGTCAGGAGGAGAACAGCACGGCCTGTGAGCCCATTTGATGCGTCTGACTTTGTGTGGCGTTCGCACATTTGAGCAAGGGACACTGACTGACAGACAGAGGAGAAAGAGGGGGGAAAGCATGTTGTGTTATGATGTGTGGAGGGCTGGGTTTGAAGTGGCACTCAACACACCTTTCCATTTGTGTCTCCCTCCTTTTGCCGTCTTTGGCGTGCGCTCCAGATGTCGGGGAGGACTCAGGGAAGGCTGCGGGGAGCGTTCAGCCGTCGCTGTCCCAGCATCGTGAACGGAGCCTGGGCTCGTCCTCCAAAGACTGCCCTTACTGCGGCAAGTCCTTCCGCACCTCCCACCACCTGAAAGTACACCTACGGATACACACAGGTCAGTATGTGCACCAACCCCTTGCATTTACCCAAGCAATCAAACACTCATTCTCATACTCATGCTTTATACTAAATTTACTTTAGCACATAGACTCACATTCCTTCTGGGGTTATACTGGCATATGAATGTTGACCTCTTCCCATGTTGGAGTTGATCTTTGATATATGAAATGCAGATTCATTTATAGCCTATTAGATGGCCGATTTATAGGTCTAAGTTGGGAAGCCATGACAATTACAGTTTGATAACTTGGGATATTCTCTTACTGTCACTGTATGCTGGTTAGGTTCCATTGGCTCTTTTTACTGCGAGATTCCATCATGCCAACAGTAAAACAACCATCAGGGCAGAGAACATCTGAGACGAGAAACAAGGAATACAGTACCAGAATATTTATGTACATTTTTATCAGAGCTGACAGTTCATACATTTCTTTATATTATATAATTAAAACAGCTGCCAACAGAGAAACTATGTTTACCACTATTAAGTGCATAGATGGTCAAACGTTCCAAATCAAAGTATGACAATACCCTAAAAATAAGCAGAACTAAAAGTAAATTCTGGTTCAGTTATTCTGGTTCATAAATCATAATCATGTTTGCTTGACAATATATAATATTTCCGTGCAGTCTTATCAGATCTTATGCATTTTATTCAAATTGACTTAAAGACAAATAAATAAATAATTTACAAGTTAGAATGTGTGTTTCCTAACATTGACCCTCATTGAGGCTTAAGTCCATTATTATTCAGGTTTTTTTCCATTGAGCTCTAATTAACACAACAAGGGTTCAGTGTCCTCCAATGACATCTCTGAGGGCAATTTCACACTCCCTAACTTACAATAACTTTCGAGCCAAAACAAAGCCACCCTTTACACAGTTTAGGGATACGTGTGAAACGATGTGCTTAATAGATAGCTTAGCTCCAAACCTGGCAACTTCCTCCGATAAGCTGACCGGCGGTCGTCGCTGAGAGGTTCTGGCTGCAGTGGGAGTAATGATGTGCACTGTGGACAGTAGCCAGAGTTCTAACCCTCTGCGAGGTACGAACGCCCCACTGACTATCCAGGCTAGAGTCACAATTAGACCATGCAGAGGTCACCTTACAACAAGGACGCCTGCTTCCAGCTGCTGGGTCTGGTGCGTAATGGGAAGTGTAAATACATTTATTCCCAACAAATGGCTCAATTGAGACAATTATTTAAATATGTGATTATGTTCAATGTTTGTTGCTTCCTTCAATATTGTACAATTATAGTTAAAGCATGGGTTGGCAATTCATTTTAGTTTGGGGTTTTCTAACATGTGAACATGACATTAGCTAGTTGGATACTCTTAGCGCTTCTCGTGGACTCGTCCTCCAGCTGTAGTCAGGCGCTGCACATTAATGCTTTGGCGGAGTGACTAGTGGCAAGGGTAGAAGGAAAGGGTTTGGGGTTATTGCAACTGGATATCTACAAAATCATGGGACTGGCTGGTTTCTATGAAGTTGCCTACCCCAGCTACTAAGGTGTAATCCGAAAGACCTGGCTGGAATTAAAAACAGTCATGAAATGTGCAACTATAATAGTGTCAAATCAAACTGTGCTTGAGCAAGGCATTAGGATCCTCATTAGAAACCTGTCTTTAAGGTTTCTGTTCCTACATTAAGCCAACATAGCATAGTGAGCAATGCCATGTTTAGCTTGGTCAAACAAATGCATTGTCTGTTAAGACAAATATGCATTTAACTATGCTTTTCCAATTTTTGAACCAGATATTTTCTATTGAACAAGTTAAATAAATTACTGCGTGGCTTAGAATCAGGCAATGAAAGATTTGTACATGCCTGAATTCCTCTAGATGTTCTCAAAAAGTCCGCCCTGACCTTTTTGTCAGCTTCTACACTTCAAAACACAGTAATCCTTGAGTGCCAGAAGGGAAGCGGAGGCTAAAACACTGCACAAGAAAAAAAATCAATGCTTGCTTTTCTTCTTAGTCTCCTTCTCTTTTCCCCCTCCTTCTCCAAGCATTTAAAAGGCAGAACAGTGAGACCACCCGCACTGCAACCCCCTTTCTCCCTTAATAAGAAGCGGATACTGTACTTCAGATCTGAAAAAGAAATCAGAGGAAAAGCTTTAAACTGTAGCAAGCTAACACATCCGGTTTACACTCACGCAATTAGGATCCTTATGTTGAACTGCGCATCCAGGTCATGGCCAGGCCATCTACAGTAGCTTGGGATAGTGGTAGTTTTCTGGGGGCATGTTATCTGGTGGTGATAGAGCTGAGTTATGTCTGCTTTGAGTAGTCCAGTAAGGACACCCATGAGGGCCATATTTTATCGAGGGGGAAGACCCCAACATAGGCCTGGCTATAACTCATTTGGCGAAACAGATACAGAAAAGTAGCTCCATCTCATTCAATCCACGCGCAGTGTATTTAACATTTTTAATACTACTAAAATAATGAATCCGTAGACCTTTACATATGTGCGTGAACCTTATAATAAAAGTTAGATAAGATGTTGTTTTTAAACGGAATGTATCTTTGTCCACCGGCACGGTTTCAGCATCCGCTGGAGAAAAAACAGCTTGATGCATTCCCAATATGTGGCCTTTAAATCACCACTGTAACCTAATCACACCAGCTCCGCTGTGACATCCTGATTACATCCACCACATTACTTTCTTTTGCGGTTAAAGATCCCCTCCCTGCTCTGGTGACAATGCACAGAAATTCACAGACAACAGTGGGGCTCCTCTTCACCCTAATGCAATGTGAAAAACACAATGGAGTTGCTTACCAAAGACCAGCCGAGGCTGCACTGTGCAACGCAACGCAAAGATTAATGAGCAGCTAACGCCTGCTTGAAAGGAATGAAGTGAATTAAAATTTCTCAAAAACTTAAAGAGCTAATGTTACAGTATTAATTTCCTCTTGAACAGTGAGTGGGAAAATATCCATTAGAAAAATTAACCACAGTTTTCTAGGTAGCTAACATTGTGCGGCTGTGGGGCTACAGTGTGGGGCCACAGCTAATGAACACACTGCAGAGGGTGATATTTCATTATACAAATTAATGCTCACATTTTAATGGGAAAGTCACATAATGAATCTAGGCTTCAGTGACAGCAATTAGAGGCCCAGATTGTCCCCTTCTGGACAAGGCACTATTTAGCAGTAAGCAGCTGTGTGTAAAAAATAAAAAGTCCTCGTTCTTGACAATAGCCACACATAACTTCAGGCAGGGCCGCATAACCAATAAGGGTCCCTTCTCACCTTTAAACAAAGAGAAGGGGAGACAAAGAGAGAGATAGAAAACGAAAGAGGAGAGGCAGGACTTGCCCATGTCACTTAACCTTAACCTAACCTTGTATTAGGGCTGCAACTAACGATTATTTTCGTAATCGACAAATGTATCGACTATTTTTTCGATTAGTCGACTAATCTAACTATATTTACCACAGTGTAGGAGCATGGAAACAAAGTGGCAAGTGTTCCTTTTGCTTACAATGTAAGTTTATTTCCCTCCAATAACGTTCGATTTTGAACTTCAAATGTATTTGAGTAACATCCATCCATCTATTCATCCAGTTAATACAAATGTAATCACCATAATAGATACATTAAATAGTAATACGTTTTCGAATGTGAAAATGCGAATATGCGTTTAAAAGTAAAAAGAAAGTGCAAATAAAGTTTAAAAAGTAACTCAAAATTGCAATAAAGTTTATGAAAGTGACGAGCATGTTGAGGATCCTCTCTGTCCAGACTTCATCAGGACAAACTCAAATTATCACGTTGTAGGTTATAGTATCATAGGTTTTATTATGCTAGAGTCGATCTCTCGTAATTGTGTGGATATAAAACTATTTTTTTTCACAATCCTGTGTTTGAGGAGTGCTAAGTTGAGGTGGTTAACGTTTCCTATTCAGAACAAAAAGACAAGCTAAGATAATTTACAGATTTACTACACTGCATTTAACATAACTGAAACAGCATTAGCAAGCATCTTCTACGAGACGTTCTGTTTTCCAACATTTAAGTGAAAACCTCACAATAAGTTAACAAGGCTAATGTTAGTTAGCTAAACTTACCCATGAGGAGAAGACGTGGTGGTTCCAACACGCTCACGTTTTAAATGTTCCTGCGTTGCCGTGAAATGACAACTCTGTTTTGCAAGTGCTGCGTTGTCCTGTTTGGTTTGGTTTGTTGTTCTCCCACGTTAAATTTGATAAACGTCTTTACCTTGGTGCATGACAATAGACAATAGAGGCCATACCGCCCACGGCACTTCCTGTACTGTATTGCAATGGCGAATGGAAAAGACTCGTAGCTCTGAATCTTTTTATAATATACCACATGGCGACGACGATAGAAATCTGCGTCGTCGATTTTTCATAATCAACGTTGACGATTACATTACAACATTGCATTCTATAATGCTAATAATAATGCTAGTGTTATAATGTTAACAAGTATTTTACAACACTAACCTGGTGTACATTGTTAACAACGACCATTCTGGTGTTACAATGTTACTGACTGTTTCACAACGCTAACCAGGAATTACAGTGTTAACAAAGTCCATTCTACGCCGCTAACCTGGTGTTACAATGTTACTGACTGTTTCACAATGCTAACCAGGAGTTACAGTGTTAACAAAGTCCATTCTACGCCGCTAACCTGGTGTTACAACATTAACAACGACTGTTACTCAACGCTAACCAGGAGTTACAGTGTTAACAAAAGACCATTCTACGACACCAGGTGTTATAATGATAAGGACCATTCCACAACACTAACCTGTTCCAATGTTAACAACAACCCTCACCAACAACCGTTTACAACGTTACCCAGGTGTTACAACATTAAAAGTGACCAAGAGGTTACAATGTTGAGCTACCTTACGACAACACAAACCATGTGGTACATTGTTATTGATGACGGTTTTCCATCGTTAACAACGCATTACAGCGCTAAAAGTTTCACTATGTGAATTCAGCGTCAAGATATCTTGCAGAATGCTGGAATAAGCATAATAGTGAACTTATGGTTTCAAGGATGACGAAGTATGACGAGTAGAAGAGCTGCACAATTAATCTAATTTTAATCGCAATCATGATTTTGACTCAGAATTAAATGAGCATGATCGTCGGCGATATTGACGTGGAAAATGCGTGCTCTGCTACATATCAAATCAAGCGCTTGCTCAACTAACAGTCTAAGTCAGCCAACCACCATGGGTAAAACGAGGTGGGAGGAGTCATGCACGTAGTCCCTGCAGTGGCAGCCCCAGAGAAAGTCCTGTCTGCAGTGGACTCCGGTATTAGTAGGAGAGTAGAGAGACAGACAACAGAACATAGAGCAGACTACATGGTGTGACAGGTTATGTCAAGAGCAGAAGGCGAGGAGCTAGTCCCTCAAAGGATCATCATCCGTTGTCTGGAAGTTTCGGGGATTTAGGGCAAGTGATGTTAACAAAGAACAAAGCATATCACAGAGTGCGTACAGTTGTGTCTGCGTCGCTTAGCCATAGAACTAACTTGTTATACCACCTTAAAAACGTGTACATTAGCTGGAATGTATCACTTCATAATCTGTTGATTTTATTTTGGGTAAAACGTCTTGATACTATTTAATTTATGTTTTCCTTCTATTAGATGCCCTGTGATAAGGACCAATCTGTAGCACAGCAATGGAAGTGGAAGCGGTGGTCTTATTTTATTAAACATGAAAATGCAATAAAAGTTTTCCCTAAAATAGACGAATAATTGTAGTAAATAATTGTGATTTAATATAGATGAGAGTAATCGTGAATACGATTTTGGCCATAATAATGCAGCATTAACGAGTAGCAATGTGAAGCCATTGTCATTGAATTTATCTACAAATCCAAATTGCCATTGGGTGGGCACATCCATTCCTGACTGTATATCAGGCATGAAAATCCCTCACCTTTCGGCAAAATTCGTCGTTTTGAAACCAAAATAGGTAACCTACGTGAATTGTGTAGATTCGATGAATTTTTTTGGGGGGGGGTGGGGGGTATTCATATTCAGTGAACTGCGAACAGGTGCGCGTGTCAGAAGGGAGCGCGAGATTCAGTGAATTGCGAACAGGGTGAGTGATGGTTTTAATATTTTCTGGTATATCTAAGTTAAGTTACCCAGGAGCTTTGTTGACATAGACTTAGCTAACGTTAGCTACAGCTGGATGAATTGAGTCATTTAACGCAGCAGGAGAGAACGCAACGTTGGCCAGCTAGCTAAAGCTCCGGTGGAAAACGATTAGCTAACGCTTTTTGAGGAGGTAGATTTTGAGGTGAGGGGACTGACAAGGCAGAAGGTAAAGTGGTCCACCGTTCTATCAATAAGCAGACCAGCCAACCTGATACGCATTCTGACTGCAAAGTACGATGAACGTATCATTGACCCGAAGACACGGTCGGGAGGTGAATTTATCTTACACCCCCCCCCGTCAACGAATGACTCAAAGAAATCTCTGGGACAAAACCAGTTGAAAACCCCTGCCCTAGAGGTGTAATATCCTTCTCACCTTTTTCACCCTTGACCCGTTTTCATGCCTGGTATATACTAGTTCTCTAGCTACCTCTGTAGCAGCTGAGCTGCTAGTGTGACAGCATTAGAGGCATTCTCAATCCACCACTTACCAATAACTTAAGCACATGTACTTGAAAGACGTAAAACAACTCCCATCAATTATTCCATCTCTCAAACACGGGTGTTTTTTCATCCTTCTGGCCTAATGAAAAACACGTTTGAGGTTTATATCTTTACTTATCTCTCTGGCGCTGTCACAGTTCACACAAAGCCAAATGAAATCAGTACATGCAGTGTGATGTGAAAACATACTATGGAGGAGAAAATCCCAAAATGTGATCACGAGCCGATTTAAAGCCACAAATGGATTTTGTGAATTCTACGGAGTTGCTTTTTCATTCTTCTCCAAAGTTGTCCAACAGGATGAACAATAGCAAAAAGTTTATCTTTCTATTTTTAACTCCAAAATAGTAATTTTCTGGTTTTGTGGCAGCAGTGATCTGTCATGTGGCTGGGAGGTTGTGCTGTTTGCGCTGATATCAATTAAAAGTGGATTAACGGGTACATAATGACCTTTAGCAGTAAATTGTGTGTAATGTTGCAAGGCAGGATACAGTATATTCCCCAGATGTCACACCAGGCCCCTGACGTATGATGGAGCAGATGTCTTCGCCAGTCCAAATGGCCCTCTAAGACACAAACACACACACACAAACACACGTACAGACACACAGGCTCAGGCCGACAAGCATGCATAAACATGTTTTCGCACACATTCCAAATGGTGCGCACACACAGACACACACACACAAGGACGTAAAGGCAAGTAGATGCGTCTGTTTCACTGGAAAATGGAAAAGTAGTATAAACTGATGACTCTCACGGGGCATATGTATTTGTTCTCAGTTTTCTTAGGAGACGTCCAAAGAGAGTGTTAAACATACATCTCTTCTGCTGCTCTTAATTCTCATTTTAGATATGTAGAGAGTGCATTAATCCTAACCCCCACCCGCCCATTTGAACATTAACAACCTTTTATAAGGAAAGACAATACAGAGGCAGAAAAAAAGATCAGATCAGTCTAATTTCTGTCTAATTTGGCTGCTAGAATATCATTTTGTCCAGTTAGAGGAATTGAGAATGATCATTTGCATCAGGGACGTTTCCTTATTGAATCAGGACTGAGCCTCTGTTCGGCAGCACACAGGAGAAGCACTTATTGGGTTAAAAGCTCATCTCATATGGTTTATTTTAAATATACTCTATGCTTCATAACCACTCTAGCGTAAGATAAAAGATATCGGGGCTATCTGACTCGCTGCATGCCCTCCCTTTCCATTTTTTCTCTCTTCTCTTCTCCTCATCATTTCCACCTTCAATTTTCTTTTGTACACCCTCCTATGCGTTTCTCTCCTGTATCAATATTGTATTGAGTTGGTGTTTGTGGCTCTTTATTTGAGAACTCTGCAGTAGGTCTGCAGATCGCAGTCTTTTTCTGGAATGGTGCCCTCTAAATAATGATAAATTACTTGAGCAGTATGCCATTTGCTAATTATATCCATGATTTACTACACAGCCCGACTTAAATCATTCAAACCAGCCTTGCGTAACAATGCCTTTTTTTCTTTTATGAAATGGTTTCCATGTGTATAATCTAAACAGTTTATGGCCATATACTGTGTATTTAGAAATGTGCATACACACAAAACACTACAATCATCATTTTTTTTGTTCTTTTTCCATCCCCCTGTTTTTTTTTCCTTATAACCCTCCAAAAGAAATTCTACTCTGGGAACTTTTTATATGTATATATTTAAAAAGGAGAGAAAAAAAGAATCCAGCTTAGCATTTTTTCCCTCTCTGTTCATTGTTTAATGAATCCAAATCTGGCTCAGACTCCAAGCCTATTATAATTGCTAGCAGGATGTGTTCTATTTCAACATAAGTATCATTCCAATGGAAGATCCACTTCTGGCAGAATACTGCTGGCTTTTAGAACATTATCAAGAATATTCATTAATATAGATGTGCAGTACAACTGAATATATTTAAATGTAACGCAACAGATTCACCCCTCTTTTAGTGTAATGTAAATCTCTTTGATCTCTGCATCCGGTACTGAACCATTTTGTTCTTCATCATAGGCGACTCACAGCTTTACTGAAACAGGCATGTGGTTCACATACAGAATGTTGGCAGCGAGTTTTTTTTTTTCTACCAATCAATGACTTATTTTTCTATTGTATTATATCATCCATATTGTATTGCACAACTTGGCAGTGGTCAGGGAGATTCGACTGACTAAAACTTATTAAGATAAACTGCATATAGGGAATGACCCAGGAATTACACTCTCATTGCTGAGACACAGCAAGCAAGGCCAGAACTAAGGCATTATGACCCCACTGGATGCACACACGCACACATCCATGCACAGATAGTCAGGCACAGACTGAACTGCACCCTCAGCCACAGCCTCTACCCGTGCAAACACAGATAGCATCGAGGCGGTTTCTTGTCAGTTGAAAATATTATCTCTTGTAGTGGACTAAAAGCGCCATATGGTGAAATGTTTTTTCTTTTTTTTTTACGGTGTTGATGTGAGTGATGGCTCACTTGGCGGAGCTGGATCGACCCACATTGAGATGCGTACTGCACAACCCTACCCCCGTCATAACAGACACACAAACAAGAATGATCATTATCACGTTGTTTTGTATTTTATTTCATTAAGTGATATAGTGTTTTTTCTTCATAAATGGCTGCTTTCTATATTACATGTTTTTTGATGAGTTAAACGGTGTTTGTTTTGATGCCAAACAAAAGATAGGCAATTGCAAAATATCCTTGTTTTTTCATCATAGTGAATGAAAGGCATATCTTTTTTCGTGAGCTCTACCCATTTGACCTAATTTTCTTTGTTCTGGGAGGTGACATGACCCTAGGGTTCACATTCCCTCCTCCAATAAATAGATTTTGATATTCAGTCAATCTAATATTCAGGTTAATTATTCACCGTTTTTTCCTTTCTGTTTCTTGTTCTCTGCCTATTAGGAGAGAAACCCTACCGTTGTCCTCATTGTGACTATGCTGGAACCCAGTCCGCCAGTCTGAAGTACCACCTGGAGCGCCACCACCGCGAGCGTCAAAATGGCTCAACTGCCTCAGGCCCATCTTCTTGCCACATCACTTCTTCTGACCACAAAGAGGATCATGGGAAGACAACCAGCGGTGGCATCTTTGCCCGACCAGATGTCCTCCGTAATGTCTTCAAGAGCATGCCTTCAAACTTAGACTTCAGGGCAGGTCCAATGCTGCCACATCAGTGGGCATCGTCTGGCATGATGTCTCCGCATGACCGGGATCGTGAGCGTGGAGACCGTCGCTTTGACTCTAACTCTTCAGCTGAGAACATGAAGACTGCTGATGGCCAATCCGGACTTGTCTCAACGGGGCCAGATAGCTTCTCCGACCTAAGCAGGGCTTACCAAAGCATGATGGGAAACGGGGTCCACTTCCAAGGTTCTCTCCAAGCCTTCATGGACAGCTTTGTCCTCAGATCCATGAAGAAAGATATGAAGGACAACCAGAGTTCAGTCCAGCTCCAGGCCCAGGGCTACCATGACAATGGCGAGCCTAAAGCAAAGCGGGTTGTTTCCGCTGATGAGGAAAGAGAAGACAAGGCTGAAGCCAAACAGAACTCACAGCCTGGTAAACCTGGATCACAGTATGAACCCCTTGATCTGTCTGTGTCAGTCCGGCCCGAGTCTGCATCTGGGTCCCTCCCTGGCTCTTCAGTTACCATCCATGATAATGTGGCGTGGCATGGCTGCCTCTTCTGCTCCTTCTCCACCTCCTCATTCGAGCTCATGGCTCTGCACCTCCAGGCCAACCACCTGGGAAAGGCCCAACAGCAACGGTCCGATGCAGGCAAGGAGCTTCATGGAGAGAGCTCTCCAACCACCTCCACCATTCACCCGTCTAACAACAAGACCTCTAGTGTGGCCCTTGACAAAGACGGAGAAAGAAATGGAGACAAAAATCAGGGAGGCTGGAACGACCACATTGATCAGCCCTACAATCCCTTTCAGAGTGACTTTTACAGGCGGTTTGGTGGCTTGTATGATGGATCCCAGAGGGTCAACCAGAGCCTGCAAGCATATTTAGGCCCTGCTGATCAAAGTATGGACCTACCCACACAGGCCTTTGGTGGAATACCTTCAGCTGGTGGTGACCAGATCGGTGATAGGGGCTCCCGTGGAGATACCGAAGAGGACCAGGTTGGATCAGATGATGAGGTTGCAAAGGCTGGGGGGTGCAGTACCAGTGACACCCCCTCAACTACTCCCAAGAGAAAGCAGCAACAGACTCACTCCGATGAAGAGGATGAAGAGGGAGGAGTGGCTGAAGACGAGGAGGAACAAGATGAGGATGGCCAAATGGACATGGAGAGAGAGGGAGACGGAAGTCCGACTTTACAGCTCTTCCAGAACCACTCCTCTTTGCCCCCAAGTGGTGGAGGTGGTTTGGCCGCATCTTCTTCTGCCATGACACCACATTCTCTGGTTTCCAAAGCAAAGAACCAAGGTTTGCCACTGGAGAAGCAGTGGCAGCAAGGCCTGGCCCTCCTGTCTCCTGGAGGCCCCCCAGGAATGTTGAAGACTGAGCATCACACCCACCTTGAGCAGCAAATGAACATGCTCTCTGTCCTCAGAGCCTACAGCAATGACAACCTCCCTGCATTCAACGGTCTGGGAGGGGGAGCACCCACAGGGGGCATGAAGAGGCCAGATGCACCTGGTGAGTGTGTTTAACTTCTACTGGAAGGAACTTGTGTTAGGCACACAAATTCAATTTTAAAAGCACTTCATACACATAAACACTAAACACAAAGGACAGACACATATACATTTGCTTGCCCTGACACCCATAAAGAAATCTTAGAGACCCACGGAAGGTCTTGAGATTGGCTCTGAAGTGATTTCAGCCTTATTTCAAGCAGGTTTAGAAGCTATCAGCCTGCCGACTAGCAACAGATTAATCTTTATTACACGTTTATATTACTGGAAGTGCAGCGCCTCCCTCCCGCTCCACAGCGTGGAGGGAATAACCCTGGATGAGTAAGAGCAGGACCTCAGCTACCCTTGCCATCTCCTCCTCATGTCTCCTAACTATCTTAGCTCTCATAAAGCCGGCTCCCAAAAGCCCATTACTTTATAACACTGGTCGATCTATGACCCTGTGAAAAATGAACTGTCAACTTTCATGATTCTGCTAAGGTTACAGGCGCTCCTTGATGCTGGAGAAGGAAATGTTTTTTTCTTATTTCTCTCATTTTTATTTTTCAACCCTCTTTCTCTGTTTAGGGTGGTTGCTAAAGTATGTCTATAGGAAGAAGGTTTGAACCCAATGTTGGTATTAACCTTTGAAGAACAGACTTATACACACTTTTGAGATAGAATGTTTTGGAGAAAGATTACTTTGCTCCGGTCAGTGACAATTCCTTGGTGTTCGCATATTGAGATTGAGCTAACATTGAACAGATCTGATTAAAAATTGAAAAATATAATATGTTTTATTTTTCACATTCATTAATTACCCAAACCAGTATGTTTTAGCTACAAGGTTACTCGACTGCAGTTATATTCTGCCTTTTTTGTCAGATTTAATCAGGAAAATAATGTATTTGTATTATTGTTTCCGCTTGTCAGCTTCACTGTTGCTCATCAACACAGTCATAAATATTTTTCATTTTGTGCATGACAAAATCAAGTGACATTTTGCTAATGAAATGTAGAGTTCATGTCTACAGGCATACATTCATAAAGGCACAGTAGACACAATAATCTATGATAATAGTGACGCCTCAGTTAATGAAGAAATGCAGCCACATGTGCTCATCTGACCTTTCCATCTGACAAAATATTGTCCGTCGTCATGGGGCCAGGCTCTGCATAGCTTAACGCTGTGGATGAATTTTAACCATACAAGATTGATATATGTTTCATTAACAGTGCCTGTTTGTGTAAAAACACTGTACGTATTGTCTGAGCTATGTAATGTTAACACTTCCCTTTACAACTACGAATGCTTGACCTTTATACGTTCCTTTTCTGTGGAACAAAAGCCTTTCTTAATTGCTGTTAGTTTATAATTATATAATTATACAATATTATATATATATTCAGATCTCTAGCGAGCTTACATATCTAGAATATAGAATATTAACTGAAAAGGTCAAATCATGGCACTGTGCTTGAAAAATAAATTAGTTTTTGTTCTGGGTTTTGTTACATTGGGCACCATCAGAAACCTTTGGCATATATATATGTGTAGCAGTCAAAATGAATTCCTAATCAACCACAATTATATGAACCCTTATATATATATATATATATATATATATATATATATATATATATATATATATATATATATATATATATATATACATTTTTTAGTAAAAGTCTTTCTACCCGCAACCGAAACTACTATTGCTCTTATAACTATCATAACAGCGACTACAAAACCAACTATATGTCTGTTGCTAATACAACCGAGGCTATAACTATTAAGTTCAATATCTCTACTCTCCAGTTACTTAGAAGTACTGCCAATTGTATGATAATGACTATTATTTCAGCTCATGCTTTAAAGGCATTATGTGATCTTTTATTCAAATATAAGTATTGTTTTTTATTTTCAATTCCAGTCTTAACTATTTACTTTAAAACAGTAATCTGAAACCTGGAGCAAATAAAATTGGGAATTCAGTCTAATTGTATAGGAATGAAATGTAGTATGAACGTATGTGTCGTGGTGCTGCCCATTGTTAACAGTATCCATGCTACTGTGACTGCCACCAGTCACACACTGCTGTTGTATAACAAAGATTGGATGGGAAAATAGACACTCTTGTTCCACAGCAAAATGCACTATTACAGGCCCTCTTTATGTGTCCACTTGTAAACCCCTTGTGTTCAGGGGTCACTCACATTCCTGTTATTCCGTGGGCGGAGAAGGTGGGGTAGCAAAGACAGCCGCAAAACTCAATTCAGACTTGGCAAAATGTGATTATCTGGAGTGGCTTTGCATTAGGTTTGTATGCAAATACAGCATAAATCATTAATATCGAAATTCTCCCTTGAATCTGCGGGAGCTGTTGTAGGGCACGCGTCGCACATCTGGAGTGGACGTCGCTTCATTAGTACCCCTAAAAGAAGTGGAAAAGGGTTGCAATGCAGATGAATCTACTTGCACACGGACAGGCAACAAATAGACACATATACGGGTCCACACATATTCCAATGTCTGCAGTATTAAAGCGCACATCCCTAAACTGGCCCAAGAATTGGATTTATCAATAAATGGCGTTAACTGCTGCACTGGCCCCGAGGTATCTGGTTACTGAGGTACTGTAGGCCGTGTTAAGACCGATACCAACCTGCACTATCTGCTGTACTGTAGATGTGCTCAACACGATCAATACTTGGCTGCAGTGGAGACCTATCTATAGCCATACATTATCAAACTTGAAGTATTACATTATTCAAACAACGCTGTACATGGCGCGACTGCTTGCGAACATTGGTTCTCACATCGTATTACTTACATCACCTCAGCCCCCTCGTTCATTTAATATATTAAACGTGGACGGAAACTACTGAAGGCTGAGATTGACAAGGTGTGTTGATACCCTTGGAGGACTTGGATGAGGGGGCAAGGGTTCCAGAAGAGAAAATGACTGAGCTGGTGGGTTTGGTGTAGGATAAGTTTGCTTGTTAAGTCAGTTAAGTTACAAGGGCTGAAATGAGTCAAAGTGGGTGAAAGTCCTGTTTGTTGTATTGAAAGAAAATAATTTACAGCCCTCACAGTGTTACATTCATATTCATATATTGCAATTATGTACATAACATGTAACAACAGAAGAAATAAATCAAGTAGCTGGTCAGCTTCACAGGAAAACCCTGACCTCAATATAGGACAGCTCTCTAAAAAACGCTGTCACACTGACACAATAATTGACGCAGATATCACAAGTAATTATCAATGTCTGCCAAAGGGGAGGAACTATTAGATTTAATTGCTGGGCACTTTGCGTGTGCTCTACATGTACCTTTGTACCTTTGCAGGCCAGAGGTAAATCAGATGAACAGATTCCTTTCTTTTTAGTGAGGTAAATGCATGCTGTTAGTGCATTGGCCCTATTGTTCGACAATCCTAAATCGTAACTTGTGTGTGTGCGTATGTGCACACAGGGTTAAGTAAGTCTTATCTGAAATACAGCACTACTTGTGTCACTAGTGGCCAATTACCTCTGTCAGAACAAGTGTTCTCTATTCTGCCTTCATTGTGAGGAATTTGAACCCATGAGTGCTGAGGTCATATGAGAACATGTTAAGACATGTACACACCACACACACTCATTTATATATAGATCAAAGGGAGGAGGACATTCAGACGCATACTCATAATATATTGTAGTAACAGGATGATGTGTGTGTGTGTGTGTGTGTGTGGCGATAGACGTATAGGTGGCTTTGTATTGAATCACAGTTGGCATTAGTAGTATAATTTTCACTTTCTCTGGTTTAAGGAATGAAGCTGTACGCACACACTCATGCCGGTGTCTGTAGACACAAACGGTAGTCTGGAAATATTGAGACCTGGGCTGGCATTTGTCAAAGTTCTGGATGTGAACATTTGGAAAGATAAAAAAGTTGATCTGAATTTACAAACTCAGGAATATAAGCTAATGAATTTTGACTGAGACATCTCCTGGGGTCTCTTAAATTATTTAAGAATAAATCCCAGATGGCAGCACACCATCTGAGGCATGGTTTAGAATGATAGCACAAAATATCACTGATATTTTGATGATTAATTTGATTAACGTGATGATTAATATGTTGCTGAAGCTAAATGTTCACAGTATTTCTTAATTGGTTGTTTTTAGCGTACTCTTTGAACTTTATTTGAACAATTGATTGGACTTTTGATCACTTTTTTTTTTCTTTTTGTGGTTGCAAACAGCAACAACAAAGCTCACACTGGTTTAATTTGTAATCACTTAGCAAACTCGTCATCCTTTTCATCTCTCTCCAGTTTGCTTTTCTTATTGTTTCAATTCAAACTAATGTTCTATCATGTAAATATTTATTAAACTCTATTTATATATTTTCATATAATAACGATCAGTCTCTCCAAACAACTTGACTCCATCCTCATTCAACTTCCTTTTTTTATTTTGTATTCATTTCTTTTCAGTTTGCTTGGTATTACAGACCACACACCTGCAAACATGCATAAACACTAGGACCAACACACACACATTTAAAACTGATAATGCAAAACCTGGTAATTGCCAATAATACTGTCCTCATCAGGTGGTTAATTACCATGAATTTGGTTGCTGTTTGTCTCGAGCAAACATGTGCACACACACACATAAACATTCACATTTACTTTTCTTTGACTGGAAAAGGCTTGAGGTACTTTTTGCTCTGAGCCACCCCTGTGTTTGTTTACTAATGAGTGAGACATATAGCTTATATGCACCTGTGTAACTATTTGGTGCACTTTGAAATAGCGCTGAAAGTTCCATACCATCACTTCTACTGCCTATTGATTTGATCACGGATATCAAAATTACTTGCATCATTTGCAACCTCTATCCGCCTCATTCCGAGGTCCGATTCAGAAAAGATATTACCAAAGCAGCTCCATAAAGTTTCATTGGGGACTGTCCCCTTATTTATGTGGGTCTCAATGCAATTATTCTTGTGGTTAAGTAAGAATAA